CATTAAGCTTTGGTCTGATTAACACACAGCCTGTCAGTCTGGGTGGACGTACAGGTTAGTAGGTCTCCAGTTGGTCCATCGTGTCTCCAGCTGCAGACCCACAGAGCAGCCCTCTCTTATCCTACAGACTAGCCAGCAGCAATTAGCAAACACCTGGTGGAACTTCTCATCTGCTGAGCTTGTATGAGCTGCTTGTCAGTGCAACATAATGAAACCATCAGAAGCTTAACAGAGAAACATTTTTCTAATGATGTGCTGAAGACAGAGTGTCAGAGAGACCGGGAGCTTCTTAAAGAGACAGAGACCCAATTTAAACCATTAAAGTAAAATGTCTTTTAAGTCATATTTAATTGATTGTACTATAAAATGGAACATACATGTATGTATGGGGCTGTATAAGGATGGAGTCAGACTTTCACCTTTTCTGTGACTCTGAACAAAAATTTACTGGATGAAAAAATCTGAATATTTGAGTCTGGATCTTTGCAAAATGTGTTGGAAGATTGGTTTTGTCTTTCTGATGCCGTCATGCATCAGAAGTGAGTCGGCCTGTGGAGAGGTATCCTCCACAGAGCCGTGTCTGTGTATTTACAGTACGGAGCCTCCGGGCCCAACTGGCACCGATAGTGAGGAACATATGCACCTTCCAGTGGGAGCCCATCTGACCGGGCCGCTGGCTGACGACCGCCTGCTTCTCTCCATATGCAGCCGACAGACGGCCAGAGCAGACTCTGCCCTTCAGTCAGAGAGACTTTACTGCGGCCTTTCACAGGTCGTTCCTCTGAGCCTGGAGCCGGAGAGCTGTGTGTCGCTCTGATCTGGAAAACCTTACACACCTGCTCACCTTTACCTGCACCCAGACATGCTAACAACTGGCTCAGAGTTGTTAAAGCAGTAATTGCCCCATTACCCTCACCTTCAACCTGCTTTTCTCACAAACACACGTTGACTCGCAGAGGAGGATGTGATGTGTGAAGGAAATAATGAGTGGAGGACGAAAAGAGAAGCTGAATGCTGGGAATGTAGCCTCCAGGTGGGACGCTAAGTGGACCCGGTTGGTCATTAGCATTAGCATGCACGGTTCTGACTTTAAGCTGATTGTCCCCCTCCGTCCCCAGGCTGACTCCTGATCAATGCAGGGTTACGGGTCTTTATCCGGGTGAATGTTCAGAACACCGAGTCCCTGCCGGCCCGACACCGACCCGTTTCCATGGCGCCGGCAGGGTTTCAGGGGCTGCAGATGTTGGCGCATATTTAATAAGCCTGATCACTGGAGCCCCCGACCTCGCCGTGTAATTCCTCTACCCAAGTTGCATCTGTTCGCCGTGTTCTCACTGCAGCCTCATGCTGGCGCAATAGTTTCACAAAGTCACACAAGTCATGGAGTGACTGGCTGCTGCTGCCACGGCAACAAGCAGGGCGATGCGGAGGGGAACTGATGGACGCAGGTTTCCAACTCCATCAGTGTTTAGTTTTGTTGAACTGAGTGGGCAGTTTCAGACTGACCACTGCAGCATCTTACCCAGAACACCTGCAGGTCATCAGATAACTAACTGGCAGCTCGTCCCTTTGGATCTCCTGGATCTTATCAGAGTAAACTCGGAACAGTCGGGATCCAGTTTCCTCTCAATATTTTCCTGCATCTTCAGCTTCAAACACTTCCAGTCACAAAGTAAACACACCGCGCCGCGTTCACTTTTACGCTCCAAGCCAAATAAGTTGTTTCTGCCTCGGCTTGTTTCCCTGAAGACTTGGGCTGACCCACTTTCACTCATCCTGCTCACCTTCAGGGCATCAACCGAATCCAGAAGATTTTCCCAGCAGTGTTTGGAATCAATGGGATATGATTAAGTAATGAGTCTGAAACAATGAGGATAATTTTAAACAGCCGCAGTGTGCAGCAGCTCGCTGCAGCTGTGGAGTCTGTTCACAGAGAAGACCTCTTGGAACATTTCTGATTAACACATGGATATGATTGATTAGATTAAAAATAGATTTTATGTTGAATTGTTTGACAGTCAGGTTGGAAACAGCAACAGAGAAGTTAAGGTGAATGTTTTGCTCCAACATCTGACTTTATCTTCAACCTCTGAATGGAAGAAAAGCTAAATGAAGACAGGATCCGATACGTTGCATCTGACACACTGAACGAAATATCAGGAACCATTTTAACAAACTTTAACAAGGCTGACGGCCAGTAAATCCCCCAGAAATCAGTAACCTGATTTTTATTCTTGATAAATGTTTATCAGGTTCTCAAACTTCATTTTTAAAGTTCTAACTTCCTCTGACTGGTTATGTGTGTCTAACAGCAGGTGACTGTGACCCATGTCTGATTTTTGAGAATTGGAGAGTCTGAACACATCAGTTCCGATCAATTCACACCTAAAAAAACTTAATTTGATTCAACTTTTACATCATTGATGTGAGACATGAGTCATAATTCATAAGAAGCCAGATGTGATTAAATCCAGATTTCATTTATTTCTTTATTTCAAACTGGTTTTTAAAACAAGAAAAGAAGAAACCAGTAGGACAGAGAAACATGTGCATGAATGTTTCTCTGTGCATAATGATCAGAAATGTGTCATTAAAAACCATGTTGCAGTATTTATATACCTGTTCAATATACTGTGCTAAAGAACCAACAAATAAATATTAAATAAAATTATTACAAACTGAACCTCAGGACAAGACAATTTATAAACCTATGAGAGAAATCTGTAGCTGCTTCCATTAACAATTTTATGCATATTTTTGAAGTTTCACATTAGAAATTGTTGATGGAAACAGCAAAGTTTGAAATAACTCCCTGAATTGTGCTGAAATGTTTGAAAACTTGTCTGCTGGTTTTTTGCTACTTGTTGTTTACTGCAGCCACGCGTAGCGTCAACATCTGAAGAAATTAAAGTCTGCGTATCCTGGCTGATTCACTGGATGGAAGCATGTCCAATTTGGATCTTCTGTTTTGCAACATTTTAAAAGTTAGCTCAAAATTCTGCTGCTGTGGCGTCGACATTCAGGATCCTGCAAAGGAAATCAGATTTCAGCAAAGAATCAGAAATGAGCATCAGGAGCTGCTGTGTGAACAGTTTAAGCTTTCTACATGAAGTGTTGAGAGCTCTATTTAAATTGATCAACATCCATATTTTTAATAATTCAGAACCTAAAGTGCTTTTCTAAGTGACATTTAATTAGTTATTTTTACGAATATCGACACAAACTGGCGGATTTTTCATCTTCACACTAAAATAATACGAGCCATTTTCCATCTTTTTAAAGTATTTATGCTCTGAAGTGTTTCTAAAGCAGCAGCTCAGATTTCCTCTCTTCTGCTTTTGGACACAGCTGGTCACAGAGACTCAGTGTTTTCCAACAGAGACAAGTTAAACATTTTTCTGAGGAATTAAAAATGTAATTGGAATAATGGGAAAACTCTCCAACTGATTTCTGTAAAGTTTTGATGTTAACCAGGACTGAGAGCGTCTGTCCTGTTTCTATCGGCTGCATCCCGTCTCCACACACCTGGATCCCTGGATCAGCTTCCAGTCGTTCTGCACATGCTCAGTAGCGAGTCGTTCATTTGATCCAGGTGTGTTGAGACGGGATGCAGAAACCGACTCCTGAATTCAGGTAAAGTTAAAGTTTCTCCTGAAAAAACTGTTTGCATTGTGAATTCTTGTTTCAGGTTCCATGGGTTTGAGGCAGATGTAGCTGCTTTTATTCAGTGTGTGTGTTTGGGTTTGACTGCTCGAGTCTGGGAGTGTGTTCTGCAGACATCAGAGCCAAAGCAGCAGATTGATGAACAGCTTCAGCCTTCAGGGTGTCAGGAAGCCGAAGCCTCTTCCTTCCTGCTCCTCTGTCCCCCACAAAGACCCCATGAACCATCACACCCACTGCTCCTGCTCTAACCCCACCAGTTCCCCCATCAGAAGTTACACATTCGTAAAAAGTCTTATTCCAACTCTTCCCTAAGGCGCACACGTTTTATTATTTCTACTCTAAACCCTCAACATGTGGTTAGAAAATGCTCTAATTGTTCTGAAAGTCTGAAAAGAAAAAGGTGACACCAATGGCAAAATGACAGTTGAATCAACATACAGAGGAGCAAGAACAGAGTGGATGAGATGCAATAAAGCCGACGATCAGGAGTCTGTTTCATTTCCACCAGTGAAACAAACTGGGGATTTTTATCCTCTTTGACAGCAAAAATGTAAATGTTTGCATGATGTTTGACTGGAATAAGTTTCCATTTTAATCTGGTTGATTTCCTTTAATCCTGAATGAAAAGATAAATTTATCCCCAGCAAGTGAGATAAAAACATTTATAGATTTACAGACGATAAATCTGATGGATAACATCTGAATTTCTATTCAGCTGTGTGACGGTCTGGAAAACATCAAATAAAATACATCAGTGTGTGTCTGCATCACGTTGCTGAGGGTTTCTGATGGAGTAAAGCATCAAATATAAAAATAAAACTGTTCATAAGTCAAACAGAAGCTGGACGAGTCCGACGTGTTTCTCTGTCAGTGAAAAACAGGAAAAATTCAAATCCGTTTAATTCACAAACTTTCTGGATAGAAATGTTTCCTCAGACTGGTTTGGTCCAACAGGCTGCCGCTCTGAGTGACGCAGGTCTAGAATGCGTCATCCATGAACGGTGATAGATGAGGGTCAACATGAGAAAAATCTACTTAATTTAACTGGATGATGGATGGAGCTCCAGTTACTCAGATGGACAAAAAGAACTTCTACTTTGAACAAAGTTAGAGAGAAAAAGGCTGAACATTTAGTTAGTCTGACATTTATAGTCAATTATTTTAGACCAAAAGGAGAAAGAGGCTGAAATCTGACTCAGCTGATCTGCCTGGGACTCATTTTTTCCTTCCTCACAATGTTCCTTGAATTTGCATCTTTAAATTTCCTGTAAATTTAACGTCTTTATGTGTGAAAGGAATAGATTTACATCCTAACTGTTGCCTCTGTTGTCTTGCAGGTAATTCTGATGCTAACCAAACTCTTTGACTTCAACCTCAACAGTGCGACCGAGAGTTCATTATGGAGGTAAGAGTCCGACACGTTTCACCAGGTCATGATGGGAGCACGTCTGAGTTTGACACAGTAAATTGGTCCGAGGAGCCGCTGAGGCGCCGTCCACACTTCCCATGGCTTTAATCGTGATTTAAAGACGCTCCAGATTCTCACACACTGAGAATGACTGAAATGTTTGAAACTTCTGGGGGAAAGTAAAGTCAGAGGAAGGTCTGAGGATCATGAGCCCATCAGAACCTGGAGCTGGAGGCTCGTTAGTGGAACCAGTCCAGAACTCTGAACCCAAAACCATCAGCTCAAACTCAGGCTGTGCTCCAGTCATGAACATGTTCAACAAACCTTTTCAGGTCAGTTTTATGA